CTCCATTTTGTTGGGGAGTTCTAGGACAAGAGAAGTCATGCGAGATGCCTTTTTCATTAAAAAATGTTTCAAACTTTTTATTTTCAAATTCTCCACCATGATCACTTCTGACTTTGACAATTCTAAGATCCTTTTCATTCTGAACTTGGTTATAGAATGCAACAAACACAAAATGTGACTCGTCCTTGTGTCTTAAGAAGTTTACCCATGTCCATCTACTATAGTCATCTACGATCACTAACCCATACTTCTTGCCACTAACAGACGCAATTTTCACTGGTCCAAATAAGTCTATGTGCAGAAGTTCTAATGGCCTAGAGGTGGAAACAACATTTTTAGCTTTAAAAGCAGGTTTTGCAAATTTGCCTTTCTGACATGCTTCACACATAGCATCTGAGCTGAACTTCAGATTAGGAAGTCCTCTGACCAGATTGAGTTTGTTAATATGATATATCCTTCTCATACTAACATGCCCCAATCTTCTATGCCAGACCCATTGCTTATTGTTAACAGAGAGAAGGCATTTTACATTCTGACTTTTTAGTTCAGAAAGTTTTATCTTATAAATGTTGTTTTTCCTCTTTCCATTAAAAAGGATAGTTCCATCTTTCTGACTAACAGCTTTACATGAATTTTGGTTAAAGATTATATCATAACTGTTATCACTTAATTGACTTATGGATAATAGGTTATGCATCAATCCATCAACTAAAAGCACATTATTGATAGAAGGAAGATTACCATTACCTACTATTCTAGAGCCAATGATCTTCCCTCTTTGGTTGCCTCCAAATCCAACGTAGCCTCCAGGTTTAAGTTCCATGCTTTGAAACATATGCTTTCTTCTCGTCATGTGTCGAGAGCATCCAGAGTCCAGGTACCACGACTGGTGTTTTAACCTTGCTGCTAAAGATGTCTTCTACATATATAATTTTGTCTTTAGGTACCCATATCTTTTTGGGTCCTGGTTTGTTAGTTTTACCAAAATTCTGTTTGACAAAGTAATCATTACTAGTGTATTTTAGGTCATATGTGTGCCCGTATGTGAAGTGTGATTTTAGTTATGTGCGTTTTATAACAAGGTCCATGAATTTCTTAGGTGGAGATACCTTACCTTGGTATACTATTCCTTTTCTGCCATTCCTGCTAACTCCATAGATCATTGAAGCCATCTTGCTTCTATCTATGTTTTTAGCCAGAAACTTCTGTAAGCTGTGATCATACTCTTTGATGATCTTATCAGCATTACTGGGAGTCTCTGAGATTATTTCTTTCTGAGAGTTTTGTAAATCATTTTTCTAATTTTAAAATCTTTTCTTTTAACTCCGAATTTTCTAATATAAGACTCTTAGTTCTTTTAGAGTCAGAGACAAGATCCCTTTTCAGGTTCTTGAATTTGACTCTGATCTGCTGATACCTTTCTAGAATTTCATTCAGACTTTCTGCAAGTTCAACCTTAATAAAATTAACAATGAAATAAGGGAATACCTCTTCTGTGTCTGATTTTGAGTCTGAACCAGAAGCTTCGCTGTCTTATGTCACATTTGCCATAAGAGCGATGTTGACTCTTTCATCATCTGACTCTGAGTCAGCATCAAAAGTGTCTAAATCGTCCCATGTTGCCATGAGGCTTATCTTCTTCTCCTTGAAGACCTTCTTTTTGGGCTTCTCCTTCTGAAGCCTTGGACATTCACTTTTGTAGTGCCCTTGTTCATTGAACTCATAGCAGATGATGTCTTTGTTATTTGACTTTCTGTGACCGGAGGAAGCTTCGGATCTTCTGTGTCTAGAGGAGGACTCAGACTTTCTGTATCTGGAGGAGGATTCATTCTGATTCTCTGATCTTCTCGGGTTTCTGAATTTTCTGTCTCTGCTTCCACAGTTGATTGGCCCTTCTAGAGAGAAGAGACAATTCATCTTATTCTGATGAGGATCCATCAGAGGTTTCTTCCATAGCCTGCAAAACCTTATAATCAGATTTTTTTGTTAGATTTTAATGCTAGAGGCTTACCTTTCTTCTGAGGCTCGTCTTCTTATAGCTCTATCTCATGACTTCTAAGGGAGCTAACAAGTTCGTCCAGAGATATCTTGTTGAGATCTTTAGCCAGCTTAAGTGCAGTGACCATTGGCCTCCATTGCTTTGGTAGACTTCTGATGATCTTCTTTACGTGATCAGCAGTAGAATATCCTTTGTCAAGAACTTTCATCCCAACAACAAGAATTTGGAATCTTGAGAACATTGGTTCTATGGATTCACTGTCTTCCATCTTGAATGCTTCATATTTCTGAATGAGCGCAAGGGCCTTGGTTTCTTTGACTTGTATGTTTCCTTCATGCATCATTCTCAGAGAGTCAAACATGTTTTTGGCTATCTCTCTGTTTTAGATCTTCTCATATTCTGAGTATGAGATGGCACTGAGAAGTATTGTTCTGGCTTTATGATGGTTTCTGAAATCACGTTTTTGCTGGTCAGACATCCTTTTTCTATCTATATTCTGACCACTTTCATCCACAGGATATGTGTATCCATCAATTACCATGTCCCATAGATCAACATCATGATCCAGAAAGAAGCTCTCAATTCTGTCTTTCCAATAGTCAAAATTTTCTCCATCAAAGACTGGAGGTTTGCCGCTGATTCTGTCCTTATCCTCATGATAGTCATTGTTGATGTTTTGGCTTGGTCCCACCATAGTGTTTTTCTCAAGCTTGGATCTTGTACTGACACGGTTAAGTGTATGAACTCAGAACCAGGCGCTCTAATGCCAATTGAAGAAGTGAAAAACACAAGAAGGGGGGGGGGTTGAATTGAAACTTAAAATCAAAAACAGTAGACACGATATTTTTATCCTGGTTCGTTTGATCTCAAACTACTCCAGTTTATCCGCCAAGGTGATTTCGCCTCTCTCTAACGAGGACTTAATTCACTAATCAAAACTTGATTACAATATTACTTTGACAATTGCCAAAGTCTTCTTGAGTACAACCAAAACCTGGTTTATCTCAAGGAAAACTAGCTTAATCAAAAGAAAATGATTTACTGTGTACTGTTGTTTTTTGTTACAAAAACGGTATCACTACTGTGATATATTACACAATTTGAGCGTATAAGTGAGTATGAATGTTTGCAGCATTTTAGATGTACGAGCAGTTGCGTGTCAAGATCGTAAATGATTTGTCCTTTAAACTTGTTTATATAGGCGTGGAAATCTTGTCCAACATAAAGCGTGATAATGGACACTCAATGCTATTTTCATATTGAGAAGATTCTTGTCTGAATGAAGTTGTTGCATATGATATCGTCTTAATTGAAAAGTAACGCTTCAGAACTAGAATCTTGCATGCTGCTTTTACTTCAGAACATTGATGACTCAGAGATGTGAGGATCTGATGGTATATTAGACTTCTGTTCAGAATCAGAGTATCCTTTACTTTAGTGCAGATTCTAATCATCATTCTTCAGAACATTCTGATTGCCTCAGCTTGAAAGCTTATGTAGCTTAACTTCTGATGTTGTTTCAGTCAGAATTTCTGCATACAAAATAACACAAATTTAGAGTGCATATTTGTTCTTTGTGTTTGTTATCATCAAAACTCTAATTAAGGGTTGTAGAATCAAACTATGTTCTAACACATGTAATTCAAAATTTCTTCGGACAATGACTGAGTGTCAATCGGATCGTCCAGATCTTCCAATTCGGTGGATTTTGGGGAAGTTGTTGCTACAGATCATTCACGGTATTTTGCAATTGTTTATTTTGTTGACGTAAGAGCTCTACAATGGTGGCCAATTCTTCCATGGCTTGGGATCCCTGACCATTACTGTTAGCCCTGCTTCTAGTCCGTCTATTTGCAATTTTGTGTGGTGGCCTCAGAGCGTTTTACCAGGCCCATGGTAGGAGCCAACTCTTCCTGAAGAACAAGTGATGACATCCCCGATGCTGGTCGGGAGAAGCCACAATATATTTAGTGTATTATGTGTTTGAGATTGCTTGTCATCTATCGTTTTCCGACAACTTCTTTTATAATACAGGAATTGATATAGAATTATTTCGTTTTCATTGCTCTTCATTATTCCTATCATATTGTCGTCTAAAGGTTATAATCATCATTGAATGTACTAAATGAGAATGTTTCTCGACCTTTAAGGGTGGGGCGAGACGCCTAATTACTTTGAAATGTGTACTTTGGACGTCTCCATTTATAGACGAGATACTCTGAAGTAATTCGGGACAAATATCCTAATATTCAATACTCAGTAAACACAAATATTTTGGATTTGAGTGAGAATTGAATATTTTTAAATGCATTTCTTTTAAAAAAAAAGTGAAATAAAAAAGACAAAATGATTAAGAGTGATAAATTAATTAGACAAATAGTACATGTATAATTGTAATAGTTTTTTCAACTACATATTATTTTTTGGGTCACATATAATTTAATTGAAATATTTTCAAAATGATCAAATTTTTATCTTACCGTTTTTAAAAGTCTATTTTAATCTCTAGCTTAACCCTCTCATTTGAGTCTTTAGTAAATCAAGTAACTAAGACAACTAACTTATTTAGACATGTTATGTGTCCATTCACTAAATAACAAGTTAATATATTGTATAAGATAACTTTGATAATTTAATAGATTAGTAATTTCCCATTAAACAGTCATCTACACCGACTCATTAAACCCTAAAGACAAATCAAATTCTAAGTCTCATTATCTCGTTCGAATAGTAACAACTCTTACCATTCACACAATAATAAAAACAAATAATTAAGACAACCAACTTATTTAGACATATTATGCATCCACACAATAATAACAAGTTAAATGTGGAAGGTGATAATTTATAAACTCAAAAATCATGTCAAAAAATGGTTCTATTCTTATCAAACAAAATTGTTATCCTTTTATATATATCACAAGTCCTGTCCTCGTATTTCATTAAAATAAAAATTGTAATTTTTTTTTTTAAATAAAACAAAATCAGAATTTAATTCCCATCATCTCGTTCGAACAGTAACGGCTCCACCCCGTCTAGTCTCCGTAGCCACGTCGTCAAAACCCAAAAACCTACAACTAACGCCTTCCATTGCCGTTACTTTCACCGGTTTTCCATGAACCGGATCAACGGTTCGTCTGGACCGCGCAAACCACTTATTCTTCATGAACCGGGTTTTTCTCCACGGCGGAATTGAAAGTTCTCTACTCACAAAACACCTCTTCGCCGCATCGCACAAAATCGTAACCGTACGTCTCAGCTCCGTCTCTCCTCCGACGAAAACGACGGGAACGGAACTCAACACCTCCGAGAACCGCCGTGTCGGTCTAGCAATCTCAAATTGAGCGCGAAATTCCAGGTCCACGAAATACCGCCGCATGATGAATCCTGTTTGCACCACGTCGATGAACTCATAACTACCGGCGGTTATAGCACCGTCGTAAGCGTTCCACGTGGTAACACAAACCGCCGCCTCGTGTCCTTTCTCTCTGAGAAACGCCGCCACGCTTTGCCTGAAATTATAAACGTTTCGCTCTTTTAAATACGCGAAGAATTCAATTGCTTCTGAAACGTGCTCGAGAAGCTTGATTCTGTAATGATCCACATTGTTTGAGAACACATCGTTTAATCTTTTGAGCATAGACGACTCGTCAATTGAGTCGACTCGGTCCGTTTTAAACTCGTTAGCCACCGAGTTATCATTGTTGTTGGTGTGTTCTTCGAGAAAGCCATGCACGAGAGCTGAGAGGGAGATTGAGTCATTGCAGTCGGAACAAACAGTTCCCGTGGAAAATGAGCTGAGATTTTGGTGATCAGAGGTGAGAAGTCGAGCTCTGGCTTCTTCGTGGAAGAAGCCAGAAACTCGTTTGTTTCTAGAGAAAGCTGCCATGGATTTTCAGGTGAATTTGAAAAGTGAAATAGTTTAAGAATAAATGGTGAGAAGAATGAATGATATAATGTAGGATGGGTTGAATTACGTGAGAGAGAAACGTGGTGGCGGTTTTGAAGTGAGAGAAATGGATAGTGGGAATTTTTGGGGGAGAATATTCGTGGGAAAGTGTTTAGTGCTTTTATAGTTTTCTCTTGCATGTTCATTTTTATCTTAATCTGTTATGAAGATACTTGGCATATCCGGAACAAAATGGATAAACCATTTTTTATTCGGGTCGGATGTTAGCATTAGCATCAAGTCAAGAGGGAATATGTTAAAGTTCAAAATTAATTAGTTGAATGACAACTATAATTAATTGAGTTAAATGTTTTTTTAGTCTTACATAGTAGTTAGTTTTAATTTATTTTCTTTAAAAAAAAGGTTTGTTCTTAAAAAATAAGATTTCTTTTAATTTGGTCTTGAATCAAGATTTTAGCAGAATCTAATAGGTGATGTTTTTTTTGTTTTTTTAAATTCTACATGCAAATTTAATTATTTTTTATTTTTTTTATTTTTTATTATTATTTTATTATTATTTTTTTTAATTTTTTAATTTTTTTTTAAAATTTTTTTAATTTTTATTTTCTTCCATTTAAACAATTAATTAGTTTCAATATTTCTTATTCCAAAGAAAAATAGTCTAAAGTATAGTCTATAGAGTGATTCTAACAACTCATATTCCAAAAAAAAATTATAATTTTGTTGATTTTATAAAAGTTATGATTTAATATACAAAATTTTACTTTCATTAGTCGTGTGAGCATCGAAATTTACAAGAATTAAACTGAAAAACACATAATAATTGATTAAACATATATTACAAAAAGATAAATTAAGAATTTATTGAGATTTTAAATTAATATAATATAAAATAATATATGAATAGAGCGAGTAGTATGTTATGGTAACAGTTAAGATTTTATTGATGCTATTTTTTACATTTCACAAATACATGTAATTTTAAAAAATGATTCAAGAATTAATAATTTTATTGATTTTATAAAAACTATGATTTAATATACAAAATGATACTTTCTTAATTGTGTGAACATAATAATTTATTATGATTAAAAGAAAACTGTAATAATTGATTAAACATAAATAAAAAAAGCTAAATAATAATTTATTGATATTTTAAATTAATATAATATAAAATAAAAATATCTTTTTAAATGTTACTCTAATATGAAGATCTCATATTAGCCACTAGTATACAAAAAATCTTTGTCACTTATTAAACTTTGAGATTTTATCTCACATTATTGGAAGAACTTACATTTATAACAATTACAGATAAAATTTGAAACACTTTTTTATTATACTTACCTTTAATTTCTGTCAAGCATTAAGCAACGTTACAAAAATTGGAAGCTGCAGCATTTCGTTTTATATGACAGGTTCCAAAAAAAAAATTAAAAATGTCTTTTATAAAATTATGAGTTGTTTTATAAAATTAATTTTTATTAAAAATATTGAAAAAAAATTAATAAATTAAGATTAATAATTAAAAGATAATAAAATAATATTTATATTTAAGGATATAATAAAAATAATAATATTAATCAATTATGTAATAAGGTTAATTTAATAAAAGTAATAGCATTTTTTTTAGAGTTCTATTATATATTTTTTATTTTGTGTATGAAATTAATGTACCACATAAAATTAAGTGTCTATCCGAAAAATTAAGTATCACTCAAAATTAATGTATCTAATTAATATGAGATAAATAAAATAAAATAATAAACTTGTTCAAGTGGGAGAAAATAAAAATTTTAAATATAAAAAAATTAAAAAATAATTAAAAAATATATATATTTAAAAAATAATTAAAAAATAAAAAATAATTGAATTTCCACGTGAAATTTAATTAAAAAAAACCACGTCAAGCGTCACATATGTAGATTCTGCTGAAATCATGATCCAAAGTCAAATTAGAGAAAATCTTAGTTTGTTGAGGGGAAAAAAGAAGAAGAAAATTTAAAAGAGATAAATCAAAACTCGCTACTATGCAGGGACAAAAGACATTTAACCCTAATTAATTAGTTGAATGAGGATGAATATAAATTAAACTTAAATATCATAGCTTTAAAACTCATACCATTTTGATCGGTTAGACCGTGAATTGGAGGATAGAGCAGTCCGGTAAAATTATCAGACTATATTAACAATTGATCTGATAAAAATCAGTGTGATCCAACCAATTCATTGATGAAACCAATAAATCGATAGATTTCTTGATTTGGCAGATTAATTTTTTATGTTAATTTTTTTAATTTACTAATAATTTTAATCCATATTTTCATTTTCTTAATTTTTCACTACTACGAAAATGGGCTTTCACAGCGCTTTTTTTTGCCCTTTAAAAGCGCTTAAAAGCGCTGCCGTAGCCAGCGCTGGCGTAGGCTACGAAAGCGCTTTTTTCTGGCCAAAAGCGCTGTCGTAGGTGGACCTATCCCAGCGCTTTTTCCTTAAAAAGCGCTTTGATAGGGGGGTCTTTCCCAGCGCTTTTTTAAAAGCGCTTTGATAGGTGTGCTATTTAAATTTTTTTTTTTTATTTATCAGGCCTTTTACAGCGCTTTTTATGGAAAAAGCGCTTTGATAGGGGGGTCTTTCCCAGCGCTTTTTCCATAAAAAGCGCTTTGATAGGGGTTCTATTTAATTTTTGTTTTTTTATTTATCATGGCTTTTACAGCGCTTTTTATGGAAAAAGCGCTTTGATAGGGGGGTCTTTCACAGCGCTTTTTCCATAAAAAGCGCTTTGATAGGGGGTTTCTATTTAATTTTTTTTTATTTATCCTGCCTACGAAAGCGCTTTTTAGCCAAAAGCGCTTTCGTAGCTCATACAAATTTTTTAAAGTGAAACCTATAATTTGAGGTTCCCTGTGCGGCCTGTAATTTTTTTTTGGTCCAATAATTTAACCTGTAATTCAATCCTTATCTATACATATATTTTAAGAAATCGGTATTATATTAACAGAAACCGGTATACCATATAATATTCAATCCTTATCTATATATATGTAACTAAATCATATATAACTAAATTTGTAACCATATATACATTTGTAACCATAACTAAATCACATACAAAGTATCGTGTTAATTTGTAACCATATATATATGCATATGTAACTAAATCATATATAATTACATCGAAAATAATGCTCCACCGACACGGTCGTCATCCTGCAAAGTATGAATATGAACAACACGGTAAATTAAACAAACAATATTAAAGGCTCCAACACAATCAAACTAACACGTACAATAATATTTTATTCATACCCATCAGAATAATCTGTTTTCAACATAAAATTGACATATTTCCTCTTTGACTTCTTCCACTTGAACTTTCGTGTACGACATAGTATAGAGGTCATCAAAGTACTACATAAGAAATTATTACTTCAGTATATGCATGATGTTATTAAATGTAGAAATCATACAAAATTATTCTAAGTTATAAATCCATACCGTGCTTGGAATCTCTACTTGATTTTTATGAAGGATTTCTTTCATAAACCTCAAGCAAAAGTATCCGCAATCTACATCGTTATTCTGTAACGGACACTGCATAGAAAAACAGAATATATTTTATAGTTGTCGTGTAATTTTATCAAGTAACATAACTATTATTATAAGCAACTAATTTTGTACCTGCACTTTGATCCAAGTAATATTTGATGATTTACTCCGGGGTACCTGTGCGTCCCTTTGACTACGAAATATTTGTATTGATCTAAGAAAATAAAAACATATATTTAGATCAATCTCACAGAAATAATTAAATATATAAATATACACGAATAGTTAGAACGATCTCACTTACTGATCAACAGTTTCCTTCATAGCGGGATAGTTAGTCCATTCCCCGTCTACCGAATTCAGAAAGTACACAACTTCTTTAATCGGATCGATAGCCAACAACAACCAGTGTTTTCTAAAAATTTAAGCAACAGTTTAGAAGAAAAGTTTCTACGCAAAATAAACAAAGATATATTAGAATAAATGAAAAACTCACCCCACTGGAACAGTGTTATACGGCAAAATAAACAAGCTATCTGGGTTGCCGACGTAGGTCGTGTATCGATTCACTAAGTACTCCCTAACTGAACCCGGTTCCCTGACAATTGTCGCTCCGCTGACAATATGGGAAGACAAGAAATGGAAGCGTCTTGCCAATACAGTCTCGCGCATTTTTTTATCGTACAACAACCTTAAATAAAAACATATAAACATTAGACTATTTTCATTGAAATGTGTAAATAAATTGTTCAACTAATTAAATGATATATTTATCGGAATACCGGATGTATGCGTGAACATTGCCGATGCCTAATTCACCATGCGTCATAATCTCAGTCATTTCGTCCATTCCTATCGTTTCTTGGCAGTCAAGACCAAAGATATCTGCATCCATAAGGATTGTACGAATACCACCTGACTTCAAATCTGAGGTTTCCAAAAGTACTCCAAGTGTATTCCGATATCGAGGTACAAAAACGCCTCTTCCCCCGCCTCTTCCCCCCTTATGCATTGACTTTTTCGGGGGTGGTCTGCTACGAACAGGCTGGGTCACTTGTTGTGACACTTTCGTAGATACCTAACAATCATATAACTTAGGTAAATTATAAAATCGTTCAGTTTTAAATTCATATCATATAATAAACAATTTAAGTGTACCTCTGGAATTGATGCCATAGACTTGCCGCCTTGCTGCAAAATCTCCTTACCCTTATTAGCGGGTTTTGTAGGAGGCTAATATTAAAAAATAATTAACTTAACGGTTCAGAATTGACATTTGAAATCTAAATGATTCATATTAACGGTTTTAAACATACCTCATCATCAATGAAAATGAGGTCCAAGGGCCATGCAACAAACGACCCTACTGCGTCTCGCACCGATCTTATATCCAAGGCCACGTCAGGTACCGGTACCAACGCATCGGGATC